TGGCTCCTGCTGCCCCGGCTCTGGGGAGCCGTGCGTGGCCGCGCTGCTCTGCAGCGGGCTTTGCGCTCTCTCCAGAGAAACGAAACCAAGTGCCAACCACAGGACGAGCACGACTAAGGCAGCACAGAGTTATGGCTCAGCCGGCTTCCAGTCTACCCCCTGGGCGCTCTCAGAGGGAGCTGGCTTTGCCCTCCGGCACAGGACTGCCGTTTATCAGCAGCAAGGCAGAGTCCGACCGCTGACGGGAGGCCTTTGGGCCACAGGGACGGGAGGAAGCTCTGGACCCCAGCTTTAGGCTGGCAGGGGATCACACCCCAAGCCTCCGAGGGCGTTCTGGCTCAAAGCCCGGCCTCGCCACCCCTGCTCGTTCCCCGAAGTGAAGGCGACGGGGTCTTCCCAAAGATCACACAGGGTCCTGACCCCGTGGGTCAGCGGGAGGCGTCAAAACCCGCACCCAGGCCTCCCCGGGTTCGCAGCCCGTCAGAGGCGGGGGGCAGCCTTCAGGAGAAAGGCCTTCAGGAGAAAGACCCGGGTTACAAGATAGAAGTATCTGAGCGCGTCATACACGGTACCTGTGTTCCAATGCTCCAGTAAAACCATCCCACGTAAGATGGGTGTCGGAACCACCCATACACCCCGCTCGTCACTAGAGTATGAGTGTCCGATTTCTCGTTCTGAACAATATGGTTGAAGTTGGAGCCAGCGGTGAGCATGGCCGCTTTCCTCAGACAGTCCCCGAAGATCACCATCACCAACCCCACAGTGCTCAGCCAGGTGATCTGCTTCAGCTCTGCAAGTGAACACGGACGGGTCACAACAGGTTCGCACCGGTCACGCTCGTGGCACAGGGCAGGTGCGGTCACGCTCGTGGCACGGGGCAGGGGGTCATGGGGGGCTGGGTCCGTGGGTGGGCTTTTCCCCCCCCTCTCAAAGCACGACAACGGGTAGGACGCAGCCAGCGTGCCAGGCGCTGCCATCCCGCCGCCAAAACAGATGAAATTTCGCAGCACCCCCTGCCACGGAGTCAGCCCCGATGCCCAGCCCGTACGTCCTCGCGGCGGGTCGCCCTCAGGGGAACCCGGTGCCGAGGCAGGGCCCGGCTGCACGGTGCCGAGCAAAGCCGACGTAAAGCACAGCTGAGCGGAGGTGTTGGGGCCGGGCACGGGGAGCTCCGCAGCCTGCACCGCTGTTACACAGCCGGGAAGGAGAACATCTCCCCTCGCCCACAAAAAAAAGTCAGCACCCTGGACTGGGCAAACAGCAACAGTTTTTGCCGATTTGATTTAATTCCAGGTCAAAAGAGGACACCCAGATGTCAGCGAAGTGTCGCTCTCTGCGCCACCCAAGCGGCTCGAAAGGCGCTGGCAGAAAAGGGCCGAACACCCACGACACGGCAAAGACGGCCTGGCGTGTCAGAGCGAGGGGGGCGCCCCCCCCGCCCCCTGGGACTGCAGCTGAGAGGCTTTTGAGCACAGAGAGATTAAGGCCACGCCAAAGCCCTCCTCCGCTGCCGCCACGGGTCAGCTCACGGGGGTCACCAGC